AAAAAAACAACAACAACAACGCAAACGGCGAAAATCATCCAAAAGCCCCATGGAAACCCCCCTCTTCGACACTAACTAAATAACAAATGTAAAAAAAAAAAAAAAGAAGCCGGTCTTCGATACAAAATAAATCTATTCCCGAAAACGGGGAGAAAAATGCCTATGCCTATATATGCCCATATCGAACGAAACGATCGACACCAAAAAGCCTACTCGAATACCTAAAGGCCTCGACCCTCTATAAATAATTAAATAATAAACCTATACCTATATGCCTATACTAGAATCGAGTACTCCCTCTACTCCCTCAACTCGACCCTCCACAGTATCGTATCGTACGTACGTACGCTGCCTTTTCCTTTCGACGACAATCGGGAATTAGGGGTCTCTATACTATATTAGAAAAATAAATAAAATATAATATATATATTTATATATGTTGTTAAAAAAAAAAAAAAAAAACCGAACGATTGAGAAAAAAAAGCCTATTCAAATTCGAGTACTCCCTCGATCCTCCACAGCATTCCATCGACGAAAAGTCCCACTCATAGAAAAGCCCGTCTTCGACAGTGAAAGTAAACCCATAGAAAAGCCCGTCTTCGACAGGACACCAGCATACAAGGCCCAAAAAAAAAAAAAAAAGCAGAACGATCGAGAAGAAAATGCCTATTCGAATACTCCCTCGACTCTCCACCCCTTTTGTTTTCTCGAGACTGGTACCAAAAACAGGACCCTTCATTTCGAGACTGGTATCGCCAGGCCCGATTCCTGACACTGAATACTCTCTCGACTCCTCTCTCTCGACTCTCTCTATACCCCTCCAAGAACGAACTTCTATGTATAACATGGCCAGATGCAGCGGCAAATCTTACCCGGTCCTCTCAATTTTTTTTTTTTTTTTTTTTTTTTTTTTTTTAAAGTTTAAGATGGCGGCTTGGTTTTTCAGCTTGCCCGCCGCCCTCGACCCTTACCCCTATGCCTTGCCTTTACCCCTATGCCTTCGAAAAAGAGCCATTTTAAGAAAATATTTTTTAATTTTTTTAATTTTTTTATTACTATGCCTTCGAAAAAGAGTTTTTTTAATAAAATATTTTTTATATTTTTTATTTTTTTTACTTTTTAAAGATGGCGGTTCGTTTTTTCAGCTTGCCCGGTCCTCTCGATATATATATATATATTTTTTTCGCGGTACGTCGAGAAAGAGCTTTTTTTTTTTTTTTTTTTTTTTTTTTTTT